AAGTGAGTACATTTAAGAGGGATTCCAAACACGTTAAGAAGTTTTTCGGGATACAAGCAAAACCATGCATGTACAGACGTACAAAGGCAGTGTTTATTGAATAAAATGTAAAAGCTGATTTTGAAAACTTTTTTTGAATATTTAGTTTAAACAGATTATTGCTTAAAAATGCATCATTTAAGCTGAATACATTAATTTAATCTTTTTTTTTAAGTTTTACTTCGATCATACTGATATAAAAACATTAAAAGTTCAAATAACTTTCAAATCAGTGAACAGTGTGGGCTGAGAATTCTATTGTTAGCTGGAAAATATTGACGGATTCTTCGTATTTTACACGAACCTCGAAAGTAATCTCTGTACAGCATCGAAAGATACAGCAAGGTCCAAATATTTTGGCGACGGTTTCACCATCATTGTCCAGAACTTCAAAATTTCCCTGACAAACTCCAAATCTGCAAATAAGACAGAAAGATTAAAAAGGACAGAATTCTATTTTTTTTTATTTTTGGTCAAATTAAAGTTGACTTCCTATGTGGTCTGTCCCACCTGAGCGCTTCGAACCTCATTTGATGGTAACAAATAAAATCTGACTTAACTTGAAAAATATATATCAATATACATAAAGTTTTGTCATTTCCAAATCATTTTTCACTCAAATGTAAAAGGTAAAGATAACGAACAGTGATCGATCTCAAAAAATCTACAGACAATACAAATATGTGAAGAGGGTATAAAACACGGACCCCTGGAAATTCCACAGGTGGGATCAGGTGCCTAGGAGGAGTAAACAATCCCTGTTGACCGGTCACTCCCGCCGTGAGCCGTATGTATTGATCAGGTAGACGGAACTATCCGTAGTCAATTCAGAACAAAAACAAAGGCCTAACAATTGGTATGAAACAAGTCAGCCAAAATACGACCCAATGATAGGTTAAATTTGTTAACAAGGTCATTATAACGACCATAAAATATACGAAATGCTTACTTTAAATGAGGCTGTTGAAATCCCTGTAACATCAACTTATCAGTGAGTAGTCTGCCTCGCTTTAAAGATTGATCGTACTCAGAGCAAGCTCTTGGGTAGCGAATAAGTTGGGAGACATAAACACCTTAAGCAGGTGATAGTGGAATATTACTACATAAATAAGGAAAGTTGACGATAGAGAAGCTAAAGTCATCTCATTTGTCATACAATTTAGTTGTTAATTGGCCTTTACCGTCTATAGTCAGTAAAATATTTAAATATGAAACAGATGTGGCAGACTCTGTGGTGTCTTTTATTTCAAGTTCACTGGGATATATCGAGTCGAAACATAAATGAAAATAACTTATTGTTAATTGATAAAACATCGTCGATATATCTGAATGTCGAATTGGCCACAGCTAGTGTTTTCCTCTTCTCGTGTAGAAGTTGCTAAATAAATTCTGCTTCATAGGAATATAAAAACAGGTCAGCTAATAAAGGAGCACAATTAGTGTCCATCGGAATTCCAACAGTTTGTTGGAAAACTTGGTCTCCGAAGACTATATAAATGTTGTCAATGAGGAACTCAATGGATATATACAACTTGAACCAAATCATTCAAAGCTTACGAAAGTTTTCAAAAATTAATTTCGGCCATGGCTAGGAAGTTACACGAGGAAGTAGTTAAAGGCGAGATTTTTTACCGGGTGGTAAATTCCACGTGAGGGAGGGGCTTATTTTGTACAGGTGTGAATGCCTTGAGGGCTAGCAGTCTACCTGTGGTCCTAATCCCTATACAAAGGAAGTGATTTAATACACAGTACGGTACCCAAGAAGTCAATCTTTACCTGTACGTGTTGGGATTTTGAGATGATTTTGAATTAGAAATAAAAAGTTGTAAATAAAGTTTAATCTCAATAATTTTTATTAATTTTAATTGAATGTGTGTCAAAGCATCCCCACCCAATAAAAAAAATATTATTCAAAGTATTTGTTCAGCTTTGACAAAAAATTATACCAAATTTTGATATATATTATCATAAAGAATATCCTAATTATTTCAAATACTAAAGGTGTGTGTATATATATCATCAAGCTAAAAATTCCATAGTAATCATGGTAATACATATTCTCTATTGTTTATACCATGTGTAGTAAATATCAAAGGATCAAAAGCTAATTTGAAGGTCACCACGAATGCCAAACAAGGTGTACAGGGTATACACAGGGACTGGTAAGTAAATGTCAATCAAGTTCTAGCACCCAGTGATGTACCTTAATGCACTTGATTGACAGGGGTACACAGACCAGGTATTTTTGAAGGCGGTGCTTAAAATCTCTGCCTTTAAGTTATTTTTAGAGATCATCTTCCATCTTAATCCCGAACGTGTTCTGGTTATTAAGTCATAAGAAACTCTTTGCAGACGGGAGGACTGTTATAGTGCCAAGACCGTTATGGACTTGCTTGGTATGTCATCTTGCAAGTTTTTGATCATTCGGAATTTAACAATCTACACGATAATTTTGATACATTCACGGCATTGAACGTGAAAATTACGGGATAATTCAAGTAAGGTCTCTAAAAGAGCTGGGGTCGGCGTGAAAACTGGAAAGCGTGAGATAACGAGAAATATATTGATTCACTAATAGTAATCACATCCATAAATGGTTTCGTCTCGGTATGGACGAATATTCCTCAAGGGACGTGAACCAAGACGTAATCAATTTATTATTCATTGGATAAATTCTCTGTTTTAATCATTCAGCATTTACAGTAATTAATAGGATTGTGGGAGCTGTTTACTATACAATCATTAAAGATCACCAAACGTACTTCTGTTTAATGGATCCCAGTGTTCTGTTAAGGCAGTCTACGACATAAACTTTGTGGTTACACAAAACACAGTCCAAGCAGCAGCACCAGTCACATCGACAGGACTTCCGGTACAGAGTGAAAACGAGGTCGTCCTGAGGTGTGAAGAAATCCAGTCGAAATTGTCGATTTGGACCACAAAACCAGCGACAAATACAACTGGCGTCTGATAAAAAGAATATTTATATAACTCTGATGCATGATCTAGAGATTTATGAAAGATAAAAAGATATCAAGAATAATAAGGTGAAAGACCTTGGGTCAAGGTCAAAATTAAACATTCAAAATTATCTGGCTAAAACTTTTATGATCGTAAAGATATTTAAACACGCGTGAAGTGTTCATAATTCGATGAATTTATTGCTGGAATACTTTTCAGGTCCAGTCATGCTGACCTGGGTCAATTTCAAATTTTAGCTCAGAAAACTGCAACGTTTGATTCATTTTTTAAGTCTAATATGAACTCTTAACCACTACATTGCAAGAAATTACTACAACTCATTATCGCTACTTTTCACCTAGATTTCAGGTGTGCATTACCGCTTCATTTCATCAATAAGATTGGTAATATCAACTCATTACCGCTACATACACAAATCTACCTGCGAGGTATATCATAAAAGGACCCATCACAAGTACACATGAAACAGAACATGAGTTCTGTTCAATATAATTCACTCACAATGTAGTCGAAGTAGAATTGAATATGACAAATATTCATTAAACTTGTAGTAGAATGTACAATTATTATATATAGAGTCGGTTGAACCAAATGGCTTACATTGAAAAGTTTGTTACAAATCGCGGAAATGCAGTTTAATCATTGAAGGTTATGAATTTTTGTATAAAACTGAGAAAAATTTATTAAGCCATGTACATGTGTAGAAAGTCGCTCCAAAACAGACTTACATGTACATATTGTGATATCTCTATATGCATAAGGAGCTGGCCAGCGGAGTTGCATAGTATCTGTAATGTTTACATATACATGTAAATGTAGCAGTAATGTATGAAATGTATGGAGAAAACGAACAGTATTAAAGCTCCGAAGTCCATTAAACAATACAAATTTTGGAGCATAGCAAACACGGACATCTAAAACATCAGAGGTGGGATCAGGTGCCATGGAGGAGTGAGCATCCCCTTCAAACCGGTCACAACCGCAGTGTGCTCCTTGTCATGATCGAGAAATAACTGAAAAATCGGTAGACAATTCAGTGGGTAAATAATTGATTAATAAGTAGTATGAAAAACATCATACAGCATTTGACTTAATGATAAATTGTATTTGCTGACAAGGTCATTGTATCGACCATAGAACATACGAAATGACGACTGCTGATATTCTTGTATCATTAACTTGTTTGTCAATAACTTACCTTGTTTTAGAAATTGTTCATCTTGCGTATCGAATCAACTGAGAGATATAAACCCCGTATACTGTTTTGTAGCGGTAACGAGTATAAAGCAGAAATGACAATTGTGAACATGTAATGCACCCGCTTATAAAGCCTGCAATTTGCCAGAGTGTATTAGTTTTGCTTTTTATAAGATACATATAATTTCCTTCGGAAAACTTCACACGGTGGACTCTGTTTTCGTATGACAGCTCTTGCTTGGCTTGCCTTGAATACTTCTTTCCTTACAATGGTAGTTTGTGTACATTCTTGTCTCAGAATAATAGTGTAAATACATTCAATATGCCTGATATTGTTATCTATATAATGTGAGCACACCTTTGCCTTTTAAGGAGATTGAACACAGTTTTACTTCATAGACAAATAAACACCACTCGGCACACCTCATCTAATGATGTAGGCGACGGAATCATCCAAGGTTTGCCGAATAAAATAAACACATGTATTCTAACCTTCCAGTACGTAGAATAATTCCTCCTCTCTTTCGTTCCAGATCTTGTATGTGTTTGTTGCCCCACAACCTCCTGACAAGGGGAAGAAAAAAACTTCAATATATATGATATTATTCGGATAGAAGGTTTACTTGACTGTTAATATGAACATGGTTGAAATTACTTTTACAGGAATTATCCTGAAACAAAAATTATTTGAATCTGTAAAGTCATCCTAACAACGTCAGGAGTCCTGAGTCCAAACGTGGCCGTGGGACCCACGTGTGCACTCAAGCACCCTGACGTAAAGTCAGGTTTCAAAAGTGGGAGGGGGGGGGTTCCAAAAAAAATCTGACAAGCAAAAAAAAAAAACCTAAACTGACCAAAGGGGGGGGGGGCAACTTCCCAAATTTATCTGACAAGAAAAAAAAAATATTTTACTGTCCAAATCCTGGAATTTGTCAGTGCTCGACCTTACAACAATAAAAAGTGGGGGTCCAACCAGCATGTAAAAGAAAATTTACTATAGCAAAATACAATACTCAGAAACAAGTGGGGGATGGGGGGGGGGGCTCCCCCGCGTTCTACGGGCCTGAAAGTTAAGTAAAATAATTGAAAACATGGTTTGCAAGAGCGGTTTTTGTCCATTAATTAATACTTCCGAATTGTGTTCGAACATTTTTCCTGGAGAAATATGAAGGACCCTTTTGATATTTACTGCACTTAAGTGATATCACCTATTCGAATATTCAGTTGTACATGTATTCAGTTGGTGATATCACATATTCAGCTTTTGAATATTTGATATCACCAATTTGATATGAATTGGTGATATCACCTACTAGTATTCGAATAGGTGATATTACTTATTTGATTTGAATTGGTGATATCTTCTATTCAAATCAAATAGGGGATATCACCAATTCGTAAAGGTGATCATCTATTCAAACTATTTATGAAATTACAACTGCTCCCAAGACTATACATGTACTGAATATACATTTACTCTTTACAGGAAGTACATGTATAAACATTTCAGTTCCTTTATACATTGACCGGTGTATACCCCGAATTTGTAAATTGAGTTGTTCTATGAACCCTTTTTTAATACCTTACGAACAGTGCCCCTCCCCTATTTTCTCCCTTTGTGCCCAAAATGTAATATCTTACAGCGCATCTTGAGTTTATTTGATGATTGCAATGCCGAAATAGTAGAGGATGTGGCTTAAATTAAGTTCAAAAAGTCAAGAGAAATTTTATAATATTTTTTTAAAAAGTTTGTTTAAGAGTAACGGAGTCAATATCATCAATTTTGAATCAATTCTAGGAAAATGAAATTGCTCATTTTTAATTTCATCCCATACTTTACATTGAAGCTAGATTGTCTTGAGGAAAGGATCGTCTATTATTAATGGTGTGAGAAATGGAATAGGTGATATCACCAGTTCGAACTGGTGATATCAGTTCGAACTGGTGATATCACGAAACGAATAGGTGATAATTATTTATTTCGAATAGGTGATATCACCAATTCGAGAAGGTGAAATCACTTTTTCGAATAAGTGACATCAACTATTCAATTTGAATATCACTAAATGGCAAGAAATACCAAAACGGTGTCTCATACAGGTATCCCAAGTTTAAAATGTATATATAATGAGTTTATCCAGTGCACTTTCGATTACTTCATCTTGGTCTAGAATAATATTAGGAATATTCTAATCTATTTCACATTATGTTCCCTTTATACATTATATATATTTGTACAATTTTTCTTCAGAGCAGATCACTCTATATGCATAAAACTCATGAATTTAAGTTGAACTCTTCATTGTATATACTGAGTTTATCCAGTGCACTTTCAATTACTTCATCTTGGTCTAGAATTCTAATCTATTTCAAATTATGTTCCCTTTATACTGTACAATTTTTCTTCGGAGCAGATCACTCTAACTGCATAAAAGTGATAAAACTATCATGAATTTGAACTCTTCATTGAGCAGTGTTTGGAGATCCTTTAAGTTACATTTAAAGACAATATTAAAACTGACGTGATTCGCGATATGATTTGTATCTCGTTGTCATTTCTCTTTGACCTTGGATTAAAACAAACTTGATTATTGTAAAACTCTAATATACTAGTAATTAGTATAGACCATGGGTATTAAAGGGTAGTTGCCGCGATTTTGAGACGTGAAATTTGCGGTGGCACTCAATTTTACAATACTAGTATGCTATTCATTGAAAATCCAAGATCTGTGATTTTGCAAAATTTTCATGAAACATGGTAATTTTGAAATAATAACGAATTAGAAAAGAAAAAATTTGGTTTTTTTTTTAAAGTATTATTACATTTAGATTTCGTTGCATAGTCATTCAAATTGATGTTGGCTATTTAACAAATGACGGATTGTCTTACAATAAAAATTCAATGCAGTCCTTAGAAGTGAGTGTAATTTAAGTATGAAAAGGTTCACCTCTTAAGTCGGACTCCATCTGTTGCCTTATATAAATGAAGCCCTTATCAGTAAGTCCCTCCAAACCGGGTGGCGGATCTAGACGGGGATTAATAGACTTCCTTCGGAGGGACTTGACAGACATCTTTCTCCTCTGCATCTCGGTTAGCGAGTCCGAGGATGGCGATACTCCCCGGGACGCGACGGACCCCCTGGGCTGCTGGAAAATCACCGACTGTCGAGCAGCCTGCTCAGTCATCAGCGACAGTCGACGTCTGTCCTGCTGCATTAAAGTCGACAGTCGAGATAATTCTGGTTCCATTTTCCCCAATTTGTTTAAGAGTAATTATTTCTTCGCTTGCGATTTTTGGATGTGTGGATATTTTGGACTATTTCCTACCAGCAGAATGTAGATAATGATACTGAGGCGACATCGCCAGGGTTTACGTAGTTGATGTTGAAAAATTCATTCAAGTTTATTGAACGAAGAATAATAAAATACAGATTATGCCTTTTCAAGCCTGAAGAATCCTTTATGGGGAGGATTTCCCACCATTAAAAAGAGCAAAATCTAATCTGACATATTACCTTTTGTGTCTAGATATTTTTATACTGGATTATTTTTTTTTTCATGGGCACCTTCTGCAGTTTTTACGGGGTTGGGGTGGTCACAGGCATTTGCTTCTGTAACACAAGTTTTAATAGTTACATTATTATACTAAGAGGTAAACCTTTATTGAAGAAACTATGGGCCTAGTGCCGTTCATGAAATTGGACATGTACATGACTTCGTTGTTCAAAGATCGATAACTCTTTAACAGTGCAACATTTTATTTATTGTTGCTTGTGATTATGTTATTGACATGCAATGAAAATAACTCCTTTAGGAAAAAAAAGGTGGGGGGAGGCTACACATTTCTATAGTACTGCCAGATTGAAATTTAGAACAATACATGTCTGTGCAATATATATTTGGGGGGGGGGCACAGCCATACATTTTCAGTTGGGGGGGGGGGGGGCACTATCAAATACAAAAAATTCCTTGACAAGCAAAAAAATAAAAGGGTCATCAGACGTTTTTATTGAGGGGACACAATCTAGTAGTAGTATATTTTCTATAGTAACACAAGCTAGTAGTAGTATATTTTTTATAGTGATCTATATATCGGCAAAATTATTGGGGGGCACGCCCCCCACCCCGGTTCCTACGGCCGTGATCAAGAATTATCATATTAAATTAAACAAAAATTTTCCACCAACAAATCTGTCATTGTGCATAGTTACATGTTTATTTAAAAATAGACAACTAAACAAGAAACAAAATATTTTGTTGACTACATGCATATAAAAAGTATAGGGGCTTGTCTTCCGCATTGTTAAATGTAAAGTAATTTAAGTCACTATGCTTAAAAAGGGGGAAAAGGAAGAGAACTTTTAATTCTCTTTTTATTAATTCCTGTTATCATGTTATAAATTTTCATATATATGAACTTATTATTTTTTTTTTTAACTGAATTTCATTTTCGACCCTCGCATAAGTACAGCCTTTTATTTTACTACCTACACGTGTACTCCTTGAAAATATATTTATTTTACTACCTACAATTAATTCAATTCAATTCAATTAGTTTATTTACCAATTAAGGACCCTCATGGGGCAAAAAGAAAGTACATTGTAAATTGACATTTATATATAGTCATATACATGTAATACAATATACATACACACAAGAGAGAAAGAGTTGCATGATTGATATAAAAAGAAGGATTAAACCAGATAGTTTTTATACATACATGTATACATGTACATAAAATCTGCACAAATAATATCATACATCATATATATGGAAATTTACATATTTATATCATACAGATATTAAAGTACATATTTTTTTTTAATGTTTGGAATATCAAGAATTCTTAGTAATTTTTCTATTGAGGAATACGAAGTTGTTCTTTTGGCGAGATGGAGTTCCTTACTACATATGAATGCATCTTTTAATAAAGGAAAATCTGATGTTAAATTTTCTAGTCTGTAGCAGTATTTAAGTAATCTATTGACAATATCATAATGTAAAGGATATCTACCCAGTTCTGAAAGAGAAGCATGGCCGGTTCACACTTTTCCTATTCAGACCTAATGTAGTTTTACATGTACTCTTTGAAAATATATTTGATTTCATCAAATTTATGATCATATAACAAAAAAATGTAGTTTTTATTGATTTCTTTTTTTTAAAAAATATTAATTATATGTTTGTAAGACCTCATCAAGAATGGAAACAATTTCAGATTTTGACATTTTCCCTAAAAGCAGTTTTATTTATTCTGACACCTTCCCCCATATCGCGATCTCGCAGAAGCGAGACTTTGGTGCCATCTTGATTAAAGAAGAAAAGAGGCAGAGGAAATGTCGGTGAACTTGTTCAACTTCTAGTAATTAGTCATACACTTGAGAAGTAAGTAAGTACGATCTTGTTACTATTGATGTACGGTATTATGATGTTTTATTTGGTTTAGTAATATGACCAGAAAATCGTTATTTGAACACAGTGTCAGAAAGGAAGATGTTTAAAAATTTAACGTTTATAAATAGAAAGTATTCAGGTGTTTGTTTCCGTTAATTTGAAATGAGGTAGTTATATTTGATTTGTCTTTTGAGGAAATACCTAGAGCTCAGTGTGATTGAGTTGCAGTAGATTTTCAAATCTGACTGTGACAATGATTTGAATTTGGCATCTTTTGTGGGTGTGGATGAATCATGTGCACCCCACTGTCATTGGCTCGCTGAGCATGAAACAAAATAGATCTATAGTTTATAGCATTATATAGTTTATATATGTTGTTTATGGAAACAGAACATCTCACTTTCATTGTCATTGGAAGAAAAGCAATGATTTCTTTTCCAAACTTAAAAAATACAATACAGTTGTTTTAGTTTTTTAAAACTAATTAAAAGTTAATTGTTTCTAAAGTTGTAAGATTAAGGTAGATCTTAAGATTATCATAAGATATGAAAGTTTTGTGAAACACCTATTTTGCAATCTTACAATAATTTTTGGTCTTAAGACAGATCTTAGTCATAAGATTTGTGAAATGGGCCCCTGGTCAATACGCTAGTTTCGAGATTGTAACTCTCCTACAAAAAGTATCAATATCAGCATGGAAGTGGGACAGGTTGTTAATGTATACAAACGTGCATAAATAAATGAACGTTGGCTATGGCTTTTAAAGTTCATTAAATGTTATAGAAATTTGATATTGCTAAGCAATGATCATTTTGATGGTTTTATAAAGTTCTACTATACGTTTTTAGCTCACCTGAGCCGAAGGGGGTCGGTTGGGGCCACAATGGGCGATCAAAGTTTTAGATAGGAATATATAGGAAAAATCATTAAAAATCTTCTTCTCAAGAACAGCAAAGCCATGATTGGTCATATTTACATGGAAGCATCCTCAGATAGTGTAGATTCAAGTTTGTTCAAATCATGACCCCCGGGGTCAGGTGGGGCCACAATGGGTGATCAAAGTTTTAAATAGGAATATATAGGAAAAATCTTTAAAAATCTTCTTCTCAAGAACAGCAAAGCCATGATTGGTCATATTTATATGGAAGCATCCTCAGATAGTGTACATTCAAATTTGTTCAACTCATGACTCCCGGGGGTCAGGTGGGGCCACAATGGGTGATCAAAGTTTTACATAGGAATATATAGGAAAAATCAAGAACCACTGTGCTTGAAAATATGAAACTTATGTGGAAGCATCCTCAGGTAGTGTAGATTAAAGTTTGTTCAAATCATGACCCCCGGGGGTCGGGTGGGGCCACAACAGGCGATCAAAGTTTTATATAGGAATATATAGGAAAAATCTTTGAAAATCTTCTTCTCAAGAACAGCAAAGCCATGATTGGTCATATTTATATGGTAGCATCCTCAGATAGTGTAGATTCAAGTTTGTTCAAATCATGACCCCCGGGGGTCGGGTGGGGCCACAATGGGTGATCGAAGTTTTACATAGGAATATATAGGAAAAATCTTTAAAAATCTTCTTCTCAAGAACAGCAAAGCCATGATTGGTCATATTTATATGGTAGCATCCTCAGATAGTGTAGATTCAAGTTTGTTCAACTCATGACTCCCGGGGGTCGGGTGGGGCCACAATGGGTGATCAAAGTTTTAGATAGGAATATATAGGAAAAATCTTTAAAAATCTTCTTCTCAAGAACAGCAAAGCCATGATTGGTCATATTTATATGGTAGCATCCTCAGATAGTGTAAATTCAAGTTTGTTCAATTCATGACCCCCGGGGGTCGGGTGGGGCCACAATGGGCGATCAAAGTTTTAGATAGGAATATATAGGAAAAATCATTAAAAATCTTCTTCTCAAGAACAGCAAAGCCATGATTGGTCATATTTACATGGAAGCATCCTCAGATAGTGTAGATTCAAGTTTGTTCAAATCATGAACCCCGGGGGTCGGTTGGGGCCACAATGGGCGATCAAAGTTTTAGATAGGAATATATAGGAAAAATCATTAAAAATCTTCTTCTCAAGAACAGCAAAGCCATGATTGGTCATATTTACATGGAAGCATCCTCAGATAGTGTAGATTCAAGTTTGTTCAAATCATGACCCCCGGGGTCAGGTGGGGCCACAATGGGTGATCAAAGTTTTAAATAGGAATATATAGGAAAAATCTTTAAAAATCTTCTTCTCAAGAACAGCAAAGCCATGATTGGTCATATTTATATGGAAGCATCCTCAGATAGTGTACATTCAAATTTGTTCAACTCATGACTCCCGGGGGTCAGGTGGGGCCACAATGGGCGATCAAAGTTTTACATAGGAATGTATAGGAAAAATCTTTAAAAATCTACTTCTCAAGAACAGCAAAGCCATGATTGGTCATATTTATATGGTAGCATCCTCAGATAGTGTAGATTCAAGTTTGTTCAACTCATGACCCCCGGGGGTCGGGTGGGGCCACAATGGGTGATCAAAGTTTTACATAGGAATATATAGGAAACATCTTTAAAAATCTTCTTCTCAAGAACAGCAAAGCCATGATTGGTCATATTTATATGGTAGCATCCTCAGATAGTGTAGATTCAAGTTTGTTCAATTTATGACCCCCGGGGGTCGGGTGGGGCCACAATGGGCGATCAAAGTTTTAAATAGGAATATATAGGAAAAATCATTAAAAATCTTCTTCTCAAGAACAACAAAGCCATGATTGGTCATATTTATATGGAAGCATCCTCAGATAGTGTACATTCAAATTTGTTCAACTCATGACTCCCGGGGGTCAGGTGGGGCCATAA